TCACTCTCATGCATCCTTGTCCAACCCTGGAGAAACTGCCTGTCCTTGCATATTAGTAACATCACATATCCATGCTCTCTAACCCCATCTGGGCCTTCTGTCTTTAATCACCTCCTATTCCCATTTCCATCAGGAGCTATTTCAAAATTTATACTGTCTCCTCAAATATAATATTTTATCCAACAACACACATCCTTTTTGCTTGTAAGGAGAGGTATCTCTTTTCCTATAGAAAGCAAATTCCTGTTATTTTAACTCTGATTCCTAGTCTTATTTTGCTACCTCTCCTCTGTACGCTCACAGAACCCTATGTATACTATAATAGGATTTATCACACTATACTTTTCTCCCTTACTACATTTAAAGATCTTCCAGGTTAAGTCTCTTACTAGGTAGCTTACCTCAGCAAAGTTACTTAACTTTTTCATGCCTCAGTTGTCTCTTCTCTAAAATGGGAATGATATAATTTACTGTAAATCCTGGCTCTAGTCATGTGACCCTGGGTAATTATTTGACTTCTCTGTGCCTTGAGACTCCTCATCTCTAAAATAGGGATAAAAATGGGGTGCCTGGGTGGCTCAGTCGTTTAAGGGTCTGCCTTCACTCAGGTCATGATCCCAGGGTCCTGGGGTCGGGCACCACATCGGGTTCCCTGCTGAGCAGAGAGCCTGGCTCCCCTCTCCCAGCTGTTCCCCTTACTTGTGCTCTCTTTCTGTCAAATAAATAAATAAAATCTTTAAAAAATAAAATAAAATAGGGATAGAAATGTATACCTCGTAAGGTTGTCAAGAGGTTTAAATGGGTTAAAACTACATTTTATCAGGTATGTATTTTATACTTACAGCACATTCCAGTTTGGCCCAGCCACATTTCCATTGTTCACTAGTCACATGAGATTAATGGCTACCATACTGGACAGCACAAGTACAGAAAATAGGTGCTCAATAAATATTTTTTAAAAAGTAAGCTCTACTTACTTCAAGCCCCTAACATGGGGCTTGAACCCATGCCCCAAGATCAAGAGTCTCATGTTCTACTGACTGAGCCAGCCAGGAGAACCTCAATAAATATTTTTTAAGGAATACTGATGTCAGAATACAAAGAACTTTCAGAACCCCAGGACCAGAAAAAAAAAAAAATACTTTACATAGTCTAACAATTTTTTTTACATTTTAACATCTCTGAAAACAGGAATAATCTTATAATTGATGTCATCTAACAGTTTTAATGACAGTATTATTTTGTAGTGGTTCATAAGATAAAGATGCATCTTACCATGATGGCATCTTAGAGTTGATAAAATAACTGTGTATATAAAGCACCTAGTACCTGGCATATAGGTCTCACATAAATTAACTATTATGTCTTATTCATATTTGTATTCCCAATACTAAATTCAATGTCTGGCATAGTATATAGTTAATAAATGTTCATTAAGTGAACTTCTACAGGACGGCTTGTCACCTTTGTACATCTAAATCCAAATATATTATATGCCTTCCAAAACTACCTTCTTCTCACAAACTTCCTTTTATGGTCAAAAATACCATCATTCTGAGCCATGCTGACTTAAAAACCTCAGATCTCTATCTCCTGACCCTTCCCTTAATCCAGTTTAGGGATCAGATCCTGTCAATTCTTCCTTTATAATTTCCCCCCCAATTTGCCCTTTCAATTTTTCATTCCCACTGCCACCTCCTTAGACTAGGACAGTAATTCTCAAACTTTTCGGTATCAGGACTCTTCACATTCTTAAAATTAGAGGATCCCACAGAGCTTTTGTTTATCTGGATTATATCTATTGATATTCACCATATTAGAAATAAAAACTGAGAAACTTAAAAATGTTTATTAATCCATTAAAAAATAATAAACCCATTACATGCTAACATAAATGACAGATTTTATGAAAAACAACTATATTTGCCAAAAAAAAGACTAGTGACATAGTTTTACACTTCTAAATTCTATTTAATGTTTTTGACTTAATAGAATACAACTGGATTCTCTGCTTCAGCACTAAACCTGTTATGTTCTTTTAATTGAAGTACATGAAGAAAATCCAGCCTCACATAGATATATGCAGTTGGAAAAGAAAGCACTATTTTAGTAGCCTTTTCAGAAAACTGTATATTAGTCTTGATAAATGGTAGTCTCTTAAGAGTTAGCTGCAATGTGGAATCCGAAACCAATGAACTCTCTTTGTACTGTTCCATTACAATTCATTCCTATATAAAATTCAAGTCTATTGAAAAAATGTTAAATACATACATATAAACATAAAATTCATTGATATATCTTGCATTTTGAATGGATCTTTTACCCATGCATAATTTTACAACATCATACTTGGTCATCTGGAAAAGACTGGTTCACTGAGTTATACCAACCTTCCAAATATTGACAAATTTCATTACACAATATCTAAAAATCACATTCATTAATACTGTTACCAATCTCATCAGAAAAGTTTAAGTATTGGGAAGCTGTCAAGTTCACAGTGCTAGATACAAATTTTCCAAACTCATAATTTTCACTTGAAAGCTCAAATTCTATCACTGGCAACAAATACTGTGAGTTGTTTTCTTTGAAATGACAGGCTGGCTTTTCGTTTTTGAAAAAACATCTGCCAAATACCCATTCTGGATAACCATAGTTTATATGTCAGTCATTCTTTCAAGTAAAAATGGTATTCCATGAAGAAAGCAGCTAGTTTAGCCCACAACTCAATGTCGCAAGTGCTTTTCCTAAGGACAACTGCAGTTCAGTATACAGAAGGGATTTATTTGTACTTCCCACTTCATCACAAAGACTATTAAAGACATGTCTCAAAGGCTGAAATTTAGGGCGCCTGGGTGGCTCAGTTGGTTAAGCGACTGCCTTCGGCTCGGGTCATGATCCTGGAGTCCCGGGATCGAGTCCCACATCGGGCTCCCTGCTCGGCGGGGGGTCTGCTTCTCCCTCTGACCCTCCTCCCTCTCATGCTCTCTGTCTCTCATTCTCTCTCGCGCAAATAAATAAATAAAAAAAAAAAAAATAAAATCTTTAAAAAAAAAAAAAAAAGGCTGAAATTTAATAAAATTAATGAATTAATTTTTACTGCTTCATTTGGGACATTGAGAGAAACTAGCATTTTTTTTTTTACTATAGTGAAGAATAAAATGACCATTAATAAATAGTTTGGCCCCACTACCCTGATTCTTGCTAAGGCACGAGCAGTTTTAGTCACCATTACTTTAGCACCATCAGTGCAAATGTCAACTCAGTGAAAATACCAGATAACAGCTTGATATTGCTATGAAAATAATTTTGACCTCTCAGAACTCCTGGATCAGGGAGCCTCAAGGGGCCCACAGATCAAATTTGAGAATTGCTAGTCTAGGACTTCATCATGTTATACCTGGATTATCATGTTAGTCTCCTAACTAGTTTTCCCAACAGTAGTCTCTCTCCTTATTCATATTGCTTGGCATTACTAAACACAACTTCCTGTAATTCTGCTTTCAACAGGTTCTGCCCAAAAATTATCAGTGATTTCCCGCCTACTGGATAGAGGATAAAATTCAAATTGCTTAGCATCACCTTCAAAGACCTCTACAATTTTTCCTCATCCAACTTTTTCAGCCTTACCTTCCACTACTCCCTGACACAGCTGTAATTAAGTCAGTCTGATCTATTTAAGGTCTCTGGAAACAAAATTTACACAGCTCACAACTTTGCATGAAATGTTCCTGTCATATGAAATATTATTTCCTTTTATCAAATCTCAAATCCTATTCCACCTTCAAGGCCTAGCTTGATGCCCAAATTATTTATGATGCTTTTTTAAATCACTGGTTTACAGTGCTCTCTTCCTTCCTGGAAATATCACAATTATTATCCTCACATTATCATATACTGTCTTTGATAATTTAACTCCTGAGTTGTTTATTTAACTTTACATGCTTTCCTTAATCCCCCAACTGGATTATAAATCCCCGGAATACAGAAACTCTCTGCTAAATTTTTTTTTTTTAAAGATTTTATTTATTTGACAGAGAGAGACACAGCGAGAGAGGGAACACAAGCAGGGGGAGCGGGAGAGGGAGAAGCAGGCTTCCCGCCAAGCAGGGAGCCCGATGCGGGGCTCGGTCCCAGGACCCTGAGATCATGACCTGAGCCGAAGGCAGACGCTTAACCAACTGAGCCACCCAGGTGCCCCAATTTTTTTTTTTTTAATACACTCCACACCCGGTGTGGAGCCCAACGTGGGGCTTGAACTCACAACCCTGAATTCAAGAGTTAAGAGTTAAGACATTTAACCAACTAAGCTACCCAGGCGCCCCAAAACTTTGAGTCTTCTACAGTGCCTAGTACAATGTAACAAAGACAGTGAAAACATCAATTTTTAAAAATGAAATCAATGAATGAATTCCCTTTCCAAAGGTAAGAGGAATTTGGTTTAGATGAATGATTCACAGGGACTATGAACTACTGATGGTCCTTGAAAGTCTTCTGGGTGGACAGTAGATTGATTTCTTAGAGTTATTAATGTTTTCAATGGGAATAATTATGCTATTTAATCAAAATCAGTCCCCTGGCATCTCATCAAAAGTAATCCTCTCTTTCTCATTAGTTCTGATGAGGTTTTTGCAGTGTTAATCAAGAAAATGTAGAATAAGTGACCCACAGGACCCTGCTGAAGTGGTTTTAAAGGGAAAAGATAGCAACCACTGCTTTAAATTAGCAGAGACTCCAATGTGGAGTCAATTCTATCTATAACATTTTTATTTCTTTAAAAGAAGATATAAATCAAATATGGTAAAAATGCTGTATTTGTTAATATGAAAGATAAGTGCAAGGGTGTTTGTTATGTTATGCTTTCTACTTTTCTATACATTTGATGTATTTTAAAATAAGGAAAAACACATTGTGTGGCTCTTTGAAGCACACCTGGTGCGTCAACATACAAGAGAGCGCACCATTTGATTGATGCATGACGTTGTCCAATTTTTACTTACCAGTGCGTCATCTTGCAATGAAGCAAAAAAGAAGCCATAGAGCAAGTTAATTTGATCCTTGTGATCAATGAAGTCAAACATTGCAACCAGCCAACGATAAAAAAGTACCTGTTGCAAGACAAAATGCTTATCTTTAGAGAAATATAACTGGCACAGGAGAGAGCTTAATTCCCCACTCAGGGCTGTTTTAGAAGCTTCTAGCACAAAGTAGGATAATAGATTTTATTTCTCAGTAAAAATTTCTGCTTGAGCAAAGTCCCTGCATCAAGCTATATTGTTCCAAAACTATAGGCTTTGCACAAAAGGCCACTGCTATTACTCCGTAAGTGGCTCTTCCTTGCCAGCCCTTAAGTGGTTCTGAAGGACTTATCATCAAACTGTTTAAAAAGATTACCTTGGTGCTACCAGAACACTTGCCAACACAAAGCCAGGAGACCGCCTTAACCACAGAATCTTCTGGTATTAGAGTTGTTGGAATCATACACTTCAATATCCGAGTGTTTACAGCACTCCCTAGAAAGCAGACGAACTCCAAATTAAACTACATTTTAGAATCTTGATTGTTCTTTTACTATTATTCACTCTTAGTCCTAAAAATTTCACTTTATACTGAAGGCAATAAAAAAGTAATATTTGATATATCCCTTATCATCATTACAAAACATAGTTTCAAACAAAAATGTAACTTTAAGTTCTAATATAACTATAAAGCAAATTCTCTGGCTCTGTATTTCTATTTAAAAAGGAAGGATGCCTACAGGGTTTCTTTTTGGGGTGATGAAAATATTTGGGAATTAGAGAATGGTGATGGTTGTACAACTCTGTGAATATGCTAAAAAAAAAAAAAATCCTGAACTGCATGCTTCAAGAGTGAATTTGGGGCATCTGGGTGGCTCCGTCGATTAAGCGTTTGCCTTCACCTCAGGTCATGAGCCCAGGGTCCTGGGATCGAGCCCCATGTTGGGCTCCCTGCTCAGTGGGGAGCCTGCTTCTTCCTCTCCCTCTGCCCCTCCCCCTCCTGCTCATACTCTCTCTTGCTCGCTCTCTCTCAAATAAGTACAATCTTCAAAAACAAATAAATAAAAATAAAAGTGAATTCTATGGTATGTGAATATACTTCAAAAAAGTCTTAGGAAAATTTCAGAGATTTTTTTTTAAAGATTTATTTACTTATTTGAGAGAGAGAGAGCAAGCGCCTGAGCAGGGCAGGGGCAGAGGGAGAGGGAGAGAAATCCTCAAGCTGACTCCCTGCTGAGCGCAGAGCCTGACAGGGGGCTCAATCCCAAGATCCTGAGATCATGACCTAAGCCAAAACCAAGAGTTGGACGCTTAACAGACTGAGCCACCCAGGCACCCCAAGATTATTTTTTATTTTGTTATTATTTTTTAATAGCACAACAGATTCTGACTTATTTAAAACTATTGACAGACATCTTGCATGAGCTGCTTCATTTAAGAATAAATAAATTAAATAAATATATTTGTGTTCTCCATCCCTCCCAAAAAGTGGGGAGGATAGCAGAATGGAATAGCTGTTCTTGGAATTAGCTAGCAGTAATATTCTATACTGGTCCAATCTTTCCATCATACGCTCTGGGCTCCCATGGTATTCTCCCATCTGATAATATAAGTGATGTTGCAAATACCTTTGCATACACCCTATATCAATTTCTGCTTATTAAGGCTTCAAGAATTAAATGTATATCTCATCAATTTGGGGGGTATGTAAACATTGTTTCACTTGCATTATAATGTGGTGATCACAACCACTCACTGAAAAAACACTGTTCTTAACTTCTCATGCAAATAGAATTCTCAAAAACATCTTGGATCCATGTGTCTTTAACCACTGCTTTACATGCATTACAGTGTGCTGATCACATCCATTCACTATAATCATACTGTTCTCAACTTCTGCAAGTAGCATTCTTAGAAACATCTTATATGTGTCTTTAAACACTGTTTTATATGTATTATAGCATGATGATCACATCCATTCACTGAAATATCACTGATCTTAACTTTGCCTGCAAGTAGCATTCTCAGAAACATCTTATAGACATCTTTTTTTTTTTTTCCTGAGGGTGAAGACCTCTCTTTATTTTTTTATTTTTAAAATAAAAAGTGTGTAGGGATGCCTGGGTGGCTCAGTAGGATAAGCGTTTGCCTTCGGCTCAGGTCATAAACCTAGGACTGCCTGCTGCTCCCCCTGCTTGTGCATGCTCACGCTCTCTCTGACCATAAAATCTTAAAAAAAAAAAAAAGTGTGTATATTTCAGATGTATATGATGATATGATATTCAAATACATAGTGGAAATGATTACTACAGCCACGCTAATTTACATATTATCTCATGTTATTATCATTTTTTGTGTGTGGTGAGGGCACCTGAAATCTACTCTTACCGAATTTCTAGTATTCAATATTATTAACTATATCATCATGCTGTATATTAGATCTCTGAATTTACTCATGCTACATAAATTCTCAATTTCTACCCCATCATTCTGTGGAGAAGGAAGCAGTGAGGGCAGGTGATGAATCATAAGAATAAAAATTTCTGTATGCCACTATGGTTTCTTGTTTTCATTTTCTTTTCTCCCCCACTCCCATCCCCTAACCCTTCTAAAGTTTAAAACAGTCCAACCACTAACACTTCACACATGTCCCAAATTCAAAGGGTCAATTCAGTACAGACTCAATACTTACTTCCCAGCAACTTTTTAATTTCTAAAGTGTCTGAAGTCCTTTTATACTTAATTATGACACTGTAAGCACACATGCCCCTGAATATGAATTTCAACTTAGCAAAAGAGCTACAGGTAAAGATACAGTAGTGATGGAGGATATCACAAAAATAACTAAAAGGAGACAAACAATTAAGGAGGCCATATTTGACATCACCAATTCCAGCTTAAGGGAAAAATGAAAAGTTAGAATAGAAAGCCAGAGATTGTGTTTAAAATTGTTATATACAAGTTTCCAAGGCTGAGGCATGCATTTGCCACAAGACCTGGCAAACATCATGAAAACCTTTTAACCATTAATTTCTGAGATATCAAAAAAAGAGAAATTCCAAAATAGAAAACACCTGTACATCCCATACATGTTTTAAGAGAAGGGAGAGAGAGAGAGAATTCTCAATAGACACTGATCAGCTAAACATGGGTTCCTGGAAAGATATCAGAACCAAACAATAAGAAACCACTTAAAAGAAGAAGAGCCAATTTTATCAGGTCAAATTTCGCTTCGTAGGAAAACACAGAGAACTAATCAAGTAAAAGTAGAGAACTAAAATACCTGAGAGTCATATTTTGAATTTGGCTAGTAATGTGTTGTTGCTTTAAAACAACACCCCTGCAAAACATGATGCTAGGGCATACACAAAGGAATCCAATATGCAAGGGCCAGGAAATAGTATATAAAGCATCCAGTTTTGATAGATGTCTTAGTATTTCAAAAAAAAAAAAAACAGTAGAAAACCCAGTAGTAGTATGGTACAGTATAAACACTACAAGGGGAGTTAGGAGATCTGAGTTCCCCAGTTCTAGCTCTGACATTAAATAAGTTTCTTTAACCACTCTGGGTCTGTTTCCTCGCCTTTAAAATGAGGATGTTCAAGGCCTAAAATACCTTCTGAGTCTGAATTTGGGTGAGAGTAGGTTAAAAGATTCTTCTCAAGCAAAAAGAATACTGGCCAAAAAAAAAGAAAAAAAAAGAATACTGGCCAGGTGTTCCTTCCTTCTAAGAACCTCTCCCCCTCCATTTGAAATGCACTTAGAACAGGAAAGGAAGCATTATCACAAAAGAAAAAGCCTCTTGACTGTCATACACACTGGAATGGAGACAGTTTCAAAAGGAATTTGCCATAGGTAAGTGAACCTAAAAGCAATGAAGTAGACTAAATGATCTCTTAAGCTGCCTTATCTATGCTTCTTAAGAGAAATACTAAAAATGACTCCCATGTATTTGGTGACAAGAGCCTATACATTCTATTTGTAAAGACATGTAATAACTAACCATTCTCAGCATATGTACATAGAAACTTTTGGTTCATAAGGCAGCTTAAACATAAGAAAGGCCCATTTTATCATCTTACCAGATTGGTTTTATGAAGAATTTGGTACAAATAAAGAACTGCAACTGATTCCAATAAGCAATCTATTTCAAAGTCTGGAAGGCAAAACTAATAGCAAACTGATGACAAATGTTTCCCCTCAACATACCAAATTTGCCACTGAGTGCCACATTTAAGAGAATGTCAATTCCTTCTGGAGCTAACCCATTCTTCCAAGCCACATTTTCCACAGTTTTCAAGTGTTTTTCCAAGATTTTATCTTTACTCTGTGAAGTTTTAATAGGACCTGGAAAAAGGAACAATATTAAATAGTGGGACCTTTAAAATTCTTTCAGTCCTCAACCCCAACAGTTACAACTTGGAATACTTGAAAGAAATAGCGCTTTTTTTTTTTTTTAAGTAGGCTCCACGCCCACCATGGAGCTTGAACTCACAACCCTGAGATCAAGACCTGTGCTGAGATCGAGAGCCAGATGCTTAACCAACTGAGCCCAGGTGCTCCTAAACAAATAGCTCTATGTTAAAAATGTCTTCCCCCAAACCTTTCAAAGCCTTTAAAATTCTAGAAGATTTAACAGCAATAGAGCAACAGCACCTTCAGTGAGGAAAACTGAATCATGCCCTGGCATCTCTGCTCTAAACTAACTAAAAGCACTGAACTTAGACTATAAGCAGATTCAATACTAGGATAGTAGTTCCCAAACTCTTCTGCAAATCGGAATCACCCAGAGGAGCCTTTTAAAAATCCTGATGCCCAGACTGCATTCCATGCCAATAAAATCAGAATGTCTTAGAGTGGATGCCAGGCATCAGGTTTTTTAAAGATTCACAGATAACCCCAATGTGTAACAGCTTGGAAACCACCCTGCCAAGAATTTTCTTTGTTGTTGTATCCCTAGTACCCAGCATACTGATATTAGGAAGCGCTCAATAAATGCCTATCAAATAAACAAAAGCATGAATGAGCAAAAATATGCTTTCCTTTAAAAATCCATAAGAAAAAGTCTAAGACATTTTTACAGAAATAGAACTTCCGTAAGGAAAATTATCTGTCTTACCTTTCTCAAAGTATCTCACTGCTATTTGCAGAGCATCTTCTCCTTGATCATCAGCATGTCCATAATCGTCCGCTGTATTGTCTTGTCCATGTTTCAAGCTGCGCTTTGAGTCATTCAGGTCCTCTTTTTCTTCCCCGGCCAGGAGATTAGTCTCATAAGTATCACTAACTTGTGAAGTCCTCTTTTGAGCCTGAGAGTCCTTCACTCTCTTTTGAGATGACATTATTACACATGTTCTATACAGAAACAAGTGTCCAGTTACCATTAAACAAACCATCCCTTTTTACTCCACAAAGACAGGAACCATATCTGCTTTGTATTCCCAACATTTAGTACACAATACCTAGCATACAAACAGTACACACACACACACACACACACACACAAACCCTGACAATGATTCAGGCAACAAAAAGGTTAACTTTCACAGAAGCCCTTGACTTAAATAGGAATAGGGAGAAACAACTCTCCAGGGTAATATTTACCAGTTGAACTGGACTTCTTGTGGAAAAAAAACTGAGTACAAGCAACATAGCAAGTTCTCTTAAAATGGCTCTATCACATAATCAAATCCAAAACTAATCCATCTCCTACATTCAGTCTTACTTTTTCCACTATTTTTCTCCACCCCCCCACCTTGATTTTGCTTTTAATCTTTTATGCTCTCCACTTCCTGAGTGCTAAGTTAAAGCGGCATGGTTCAAAAGTCAAACTGGTGACCAAACTAAGGATTCTCACAAAGAATTGTCCCCTATTAAGTAATTCATTTATTCAGTAAATAATTGTTGAACATCATCTATATGCAAAGCACAGTTCTACTTACTAGGGATAAAATAAAACAGCCAAGGTCTCTGCTCTCGTGAAACCTATGGGGGTAGGGTGGGAAGGAGTGTGAGAGAGGGGAGCGATACCATCTGATTTGTTTTAAGACCGTTTTAGCTGCAGTGTGGAGAACAGAATATGAGGGGTCAAGGAGTGAAAACAGACGAATTTTTAAAAAAGCCTTCGAGTCCAGAAGAAGTATGACTGTAGTCTGAACTAGGCCTAAGATAGCAGTGGAAGAGGTAGAAAATGACTGATATATTTTGGAGATAGACTGGGCAAGGCCGTGATAAAAGAACTGGATGCAGGGAAAAGGAAAGAGAGGAACCCAGAAAGACTTTTAAGTTTTGGCTTCAAATGGGAAAAACTAAGGAAATCGTTGGAATGACCGTTACTCGACCCCACCTCCCTAAGAACATATGCGGCCAGAGCAGGAAAGCGATAGGTCTATCTAACCCACTGGGAGGTTCCGAGTTCTGGTAGTTTCCTAGGGTCCTAAAAAAGCAGCGCGGGAGAGCAGATTCTAACCCCAACCAGTTGAACCGTCCCATTGCTTCTCAGGAAGCCAGCCCCTCACAGACTGCCACGGCAGAGAGCGAACTCGGCCACGACGACCGACCCACTGGACAGATTCCTGAGCTGGGGAAAAACCCGACCCCAGCCACACCTTGCAGGAGAATCCTGCTCAGATTTCCTCTGCTCTGAGAGCCCCCATTTTGCCCGGTCTTAAAAGTAAAAGTACCTCACCTAACACACTCCTCAGTCGCAAAGCCTCCGGAATCCCAACACCGCCTCCCGGATTCAAAAGGGCGGGCCCCGCCTCGCGCATGCGCTTCTGCAGAGACCCAGGCTGCAGTAGGCAGAGCAGCGCGCTTTGCTGAAGCCTGATTGGTTGGGTTGCACCTCAACGGCGCGAGGAGGCACGCGCGCCGACGCTGACGCAGACCCAATCCCGAGAACCACTTGCCCCGCCCGCCCCGGGTAGGGGACCCGCGCCTTGTGGGCCGTTGCTGCTGGAGCTAGCTGATTGGCTGCCGTTCCCACTGTCCTGATAATGTTCGCGTTCGTCATTTTGCGTAAAACTCGAAAATTAGTGTCCTGATTCCTGAATTTAACAAGAGTAATTATAGTGATAATTTTGCCCAGATTGATCCGCAAGTGTCGGGACTTTGAATCTATAGGGAAAATATGAACCTTGCTGGACAAGAGACTTAGGTTATTGAGTCTATGACTTCTGAAGCTGTCGCTTTTCCCAGGCGAAGCTCTGGGGTGGGAGGAAAGGACGGCTGCATCTGCCCTCCTTTTACCGAGGGTGGGCATTCATATCTTCCAGGGTTTGCCAAAAACCTGGATCCTAAGCTAGATGTGGCACCTTGCATGTAACCCGCCAGGCAACACGTACAGATTTCTAACTTTGGTGAGTCTTAAAGAAACTGGCTGAAACAGCAGCAAGGGTTCAGTTTGAGACCTGAGCCTAGTCCCTAGTTTAATCTCTTACTAGAGTAGGAATTAAAGAGGAAAGGTAAATTAAATGGCTCTCACTGTGTTTTTGAGGCCAAAACACATCCACAAACTGGGCAAAACTGTGGGAGGGAACTGCAATCTTAGGGAGAAATGAATCAAAGATTAAGTTGATATATTTGGGAAAGACTACACCAGAAATTACTATTTACCACATCTTATATGATTTTCAGAGTACTTTCACGAACTCTTGTTTAATCATGCATGAGAATTGAGTGATATTTTATCTAGTACATAAACTGCTCTTATCTAGGAAAACTGAAAGTTTCTCGAGTCATTTTTCATACTCTTAATGATTTCATAGACTCAACTGTGAATTGGAATGGATTTTAAACCTTCAATCCCCTTCTCTTTTGTAGATGATGAAACTGAGGCTCTGAGTGCTGAAATAACTTGCCTAACATGACAGGTCTGTGGCACTGGAACGTGTGCCACTTTATGGATACACATAGTGAGAGAGCATTGGTTCTCCTTTGTTTCATACACCTGCAATTTTGTCTGAACTCATTCTTCCACCTTCCCTTGGCATCACCTAGTGAAGCAGAACTTCCCAAACCTGAAAATTGTATTGATCCTAATTCTCTGGCTTTCTGTCTTGTGTGCTGATGTTACTGAAGTGTGGTAACCTCGTTAGTATACTAAGTGATTATATTGTTCCTTCTCTTTCTTCTCCCTCATCCAGAATCAAAAATTAAAGAGCCAGAATTGCTTCATATGACCCTTTCTTCCCAGATTTTCATTATCTGTCCAGACAGTTTCCTCCAAATTTCAAAAATTTTTATTTTGAAAGAATGAGAGAAATAAGACAGAGGTATCAATTAACAAGAACAATGACACTGAAGAAAATACAATAATTTGTACTCCCCCCACACACAATGCCCCCACCCCTCTCCCCGTCCCTGGCACAATAATATTAAAACCATCAAAGCACATCTAACAAGGAGAAACAGCAGTATGGAATGAAGAAAGCAAAGTTCATACTGCTCAATCCAACCAATCCATATCAAATGTCCTTCCCCCTGCTGAACTCCAGCCACCATAATGATAAAGAGGTGTAGAGGAGACAACCAGAGGAGTAACTTGGATCTCTGCTTAGACTAGCAAAGTTCAGTGAAGAGTCAATAGGAGTAATGAATCTGTCTGGCAGGGAAACCCTGGATACAGCTCCTCTGTCAAGTCTCAGATGATTGAAGAGAACAGCTAGAGTTTGAGATTCACAGACTTCTAACGGGACTAATCCCTGCTCCCTCAACCCAACAGTAGAGCAGCTGCTGAATCCTGGTTGGGATTCTCTGCTGAGAATAGTAGGAAGTGAGGCAGCTTTTGGCTTAAGAACCACCCCCCAAAAAAAGAGATGTCTGGTAACAAGTTTACTGCTTCGATTTCAAACTGTGAGCAAAGGAGCTTAGTAGGTTGGTTTGGGGCAAAGGCAAGGTAAAATTCCAATTTTATCACTTGAAGAATTAGATTATGTGTTGACTGCATATATCCCTTATTTTAATTAAACTCAATATGGAGTATTTAAAATTTCAACAACTGTTACAGTGGAGGTTAATCAGTATAACTCAATGTCTCAAATTGAAGGAACTTTCTTCTAAAGTGGTAAATTTAAGTTTTCAACTTAATTTCCCTCATCCCACAGGAATACATCACTTGATTTATACCAGAAGTAAGTAGGATTCTCTTTAGAGGAGGTTTATTTTATTCTGCCCTCACTAGAATCAGTCTATAAAGGGAAGGATACCTCTGCAGGATTAGTTCAAGATCAGAGCCTTCTCCTCGCACCTGCGTGCGTGCACACACACACACACACAAACACACACACACGGACAGTAAATACATTTTCCCACACATAATCTTATAGTCACATGCTTGCTGGAGTCCATCTCACAAATACACTTCAACAGTTAGCCGTATACATGTACATGCAGCAAGATGTGAGAGTTGCCCCAAAGTGATTAAAGGTGGTGCACATATGTCTATGTGGGGAGGTCATTTTAGGGTATAGGTGTACACAAGCCAATAGGACCATTAACTTGCAGATTATATTTTTTCCCTTTCCTTCAAGATAAATAAATCAAATGAAAAACACACACTGACATCTTCCTGGGTGTCATGGAGGCAACTGCCTGGAAGGTTCACTTTTTGCACTTCTGCTTTCCTATGACAACTTCATTTTGCCCTGAGGGGCCTTCTCATATAAAGAGGGCTGCTCCTCCGTGTTCCCGGCATTCCCTGCTTGCCCTGGTGGTGGCAAGGGCTTCTTCTCAGAAGACCGGTCTTCAGGCTTGCGGGCAATCAGCAGGCGGCAGGTGAGCAGGATTCCAAACACCAGAGCATGGGCGTAGCGTTTGAGAGGATCACCGACTAGTTGATGGAAGAAGAGCACAGCCAACACCAGCAAGAGTAGGAAGAAGTTGGCCACATCTTTGGGACGCCCAGGCACAAGGGTCATGACAATGCCACAGGCCACCTCAAGAGCACCAATGCTTTTGCGGAGGAGAATGGAATTGATCCCCATTTTCTTCAGCAGAGGGAGGGCTCGGACATAGCTCTTGTAAGCACGTTTCTAGAGTGAAATACCACAAGGAATGCCACATTAACCATGATTTTAAAATTAGAATGAAGAACACAGAAGCAAGGGCCTCCTTCCCCACCATTCCCTTTCCATGTCCCCATCAGGTCCCTTTTTTTTTTTTTTTTTTTTACTGTGGCCCCTAAATAAAAGTCTTGTAATTAAGATAAGAAAAAAACGAGCAATCTTCTGAGGTCCCTGTGATTTAAACCTTAGTAACAACAGGGTGCCTGGTGGCTCAGTTTGTTGAGGGTCTGACACGTGATTTCAGCTCAGGTCATGCATGACTGTGGGGCTGGGCTCTGCGTTCAGCATGGAGTCTGCTTGTCCCTCTCCCTCTGCTCCTCCCCCCTCTACTTGTGCTCTCTTTCTCTCTCTAAAATAAATAGATAAAATCTTTAAAAATAAATAAGACTTAGTAACAGCACCAAAGAGAATTTGGCTTTATAGTTAAAAATTATTTTCTGATTATAAATCATAAACAACACTAAAAGCATTTATAAGAAAATTTATTGGGCCCATAAAGTCTGGTACAGATTAGCCACAACCACATTTTCTAGTGCCTGCCTCGTCCAAACCCAGATGCATACAAATACCAACAAAAATGAAACAAGGCAAGGCACAGTATGATAAAGTCTCACTAATTCGGACTTCCTTAATTTGGAATCTGTGATAATTCAGAAAAAAAGCTGAGCAGGAGTTTATATTTGTGGAATCTGCAAAAATTAAAAGTGAGTACTAAGTAAATAGAAAAATAAAAATGTGTGCAAATGTTAGCCCCTTATATATCTTTAAAATATAGTAAGATAAAAATCATTCTCATGGTCAGTGAAATAAAGTCCCAGGCCTTTACAAGACACTACTTTGATTAGCCTGGTGCAAGTTCACTAATTTTAATTCAACAAATATGTATTGAGCACCTACTATGGATTATGCAATGGAGATAAAAAGGTAAATAAGACAGGGTCAAGAAGCTCTTGATCCAGTGGGGGGAAACAGATACACAAAACACCAGTATAAAGCAACATGGTTAGTGACACATAATAGACGTCTGTACAAGGTCTAATTGTAGCCCAAAGGGAGACATCATAGAACAGAGGAGGGAGTCACTGGATATATTACAAAGTAATAAGATTATATTGACCTTAGGGTAATAGGTAATCATATTTTTCACTGTATTCAGATTGGCCTGTAGTAAATCGATGAGATTTTATCAAGTGTCTTATTATGTTGGCCCACTGCTTTGTTTTCAGTAAGTACCCATTAATTCATTCAATATTTATTAAGTGCTTCCTTGCGCTAGGCACTGTACTAGGTACTTTGGATACAGATGTCAATCATTCAAAGGCCCTGCCTTCCTGAAGCTTGAGTTTATATGAAGAAAAGTTATGGGTGCTGAACAAAATTATGCAGTAGATATAGTAGAGCCACACCAGAGTGGTCAAGTTTCCCTAGATGGAAACGGAGAAAAGCTAGAGTGGAATATTAAAGGAAGACCAGGTGTTTGCAAGATCAATAAGGGAAGGGCATTGCAGGCAGAGGAAACTGGATAAGCAAAGGCCCTGAAGCACAAAACAGACTTGGGTGTTTCAAACACCACCCCAGTTCAGCATAGGTTGGGAGAGGGAGGGGTGACAGTGAGACATGAGACAGGGGAGATAGATATGAATCATGAATCATGAGAACTATATATGTCCTCTTATATATGTCTATATATGTGTCACTATGAGATCATGGGGAACTATATATGTTGTGTTGTGGAGGTGGATTTTATCCTATAAGCCAGGGGGAGCAACATAATTTGCTTTTGAGGAAGGTCCCTCTGGAAAAAGTGTGGAGGATGGATTGGGAGAGGTATGCCTGGAAGCAAGGAGACCAAGTAAGAGACCTAGAGTAATGACAGTAGGGATATAGGGAAGGGGGATGAGTCAAGGATACCTTTAATGCAAAATCAACAGAATTTAGTGTTATACTGGAAGTGGAACCTGAGGGAAAGGGATAAGTAAAGAAAGATTCTCTGGTCTCTGGCTTGGGTACCTGGGTAGAAGGGTGTTACCATTCTCCAGGTTTGGGCATGCATCTGAAAGAACAGGTTGGGGGTGGGGCAAGGGGTAAGGAGCAAGGGACTCAATTTGGGTTTTTTAGTTGAAGTGTCTCTAAGACATCTAAGTGGAGATGTCTGGTAGGCAGCTCAGTAAGAGAGGTCTGGAATAAAGATATAGAATGGATAGTCATCAGTATCCCAGGTAGAATGTATATATACAGTGGGAAAAATTGTGTGACAGACATTTAAGAAATGGAAAGAGAAAGATAGTCCACAAAGTAGACAGAAGAGAGTGTGGTCAGAAAAGTAGGGGGAAAACCAAGAGAGACAAGGTCATGGGGCCCAAGGTTTTCAAGAAGAGAATAGTCAAAAGTTCCAGATGCGAGGCAAGTATCATAAGAATCAGGCAGAAAGCCAACTTGACCTCTTAGAAGCATCTGGCACTTAGAATAGTGTTCATGGGCGCCTGGGTGGCTCAGTTGGTTAAGTGACTGCCTTCGGCTCAGGTCATGATCCTGGAGTCCCGGGATCGAGTCCCGCATCGGGCTCCCTGCTCAGCAGGGAGTCTGCTTCTCCCTCTGACCCTCCTCCCTCTCATGCTCTCTGTCTCTCATTCTCTCTCTCTCAAATAAATAAATAAAATCTTTAAAAAAAAAAAAGAATAGTGTTCACACACTCTAGGTTTGGAACAAATGTGAAGTCATTTCTCTCACTTTTGGATAAGTGAATGCACCTTATTTCATGGATTAATTATCATGAGTGGCACAAGATAATCCTCTATGAGGACTGTTAAAAGACCAATGGTTTAGGGTGCCTGGGTGGCTCAGTTGGTTAAGCAACTGCCTTCGGCTCAGGTCATGATCCTGGAGTCCCGGGATCAAGTCCTGCATCAGACTCCCTGCTCAGCGGGGAGTCTGCTTCTCCCTCTGATCCTCCCCCTCTCATGCTCTCTGTCTCCCATTCTCTCTCTCAGATAAAAAAAAAAAAAAGACCAATGGTTTAGTGAAAAAAACAAACAAACAAACATGGGTTTTGATTCAAACAGACTTGGCTTTAAATCCCATCTCTGTCACTTTCTAGTTGGGTGTCCATAGGCAAATTATTTGACCTCTCTGAGCGTCATTTTCCTGAGCAGGGTTAAGACTAAAGTGAAATGAGCCAGGCTATTTGCCTTGAATGCAAAATTTAAGAGGGCACCAAAAACATTTCTTGATTAAGGTAGATAATATCATTAATGAGCAAAATATCAAAGCTTTTACATAAATGCAAGATCCAGCTCTGCACTTATACAACCCTGCCTTATCTCTTCCCAATTCTGGCCCTATCAGATCCTGTCTTTAAAACTTCACCTCACCCTAGTCCCTATCCTGTTCCTGAGCATGTAAAGGAAACACAGAGTGTTAGTCTTTCTTCCTCCCTCTTCCCATTTTAGGTTAAATCAGGGACTTTCAGAGAAATTAGTAGAGACGTTGACTAGTCGGCAGAGTAAAACTCTGGGCTGAACTGAGCCAGACCCACATGGAGCAGAGCAGAGATGAGGGTTAGGGCACCTGGTGGTGGGGAAAAGTGTACCCGTTTCCTCTCACTATTAAACTAGATGCCACCTGCCCACTCTCTCCCCCTCTGCACTCTGGTAACAGTAACGGGGCAACATTAGGGAAAGAAATCTAGACGCAAGAGGCTTCCTTAACACTTGTAAGTGAGGACTATTTCTAATTAACAGCACAAAGCTTCCCAAGAGGCAGTTCCTAAACCCTAAATGTAAGCTTTTGACATGATGAACGCAGGAGGCAAGATGAGTTTCCCACAGTCAGTTCAGAGCCAAGACTTCAGATGCTGGCTGAGTGGCTTCTGGAAACGCTCCTTTTTTGGCTAAGGCTAACCACCCATCATTCAGGAATAGATTCTTAACTATACTACAGTGGAATCTGTAGCCTGGGGCCAAATTCCACGTCTTTAAATCAAGTTCCTAGAACTTGGGTGATTTTTTTTTCTTTACATTTGGTATAACTTCATATTACTTTTTCAGTTGTTTATCTAACTGCTTAAACTACAGCTGTGGCTCTTTTATGCAGCTGTTGCCTCTTTTTTTCTCTTTCCTTTCTCCAGAGGAAACTGCACATGGATAAGCCATCTCATCAAATCTTTAGTTCAAAGCTGAGTAGGTATAGATAGCATCTATTCTCCAGGACTCCAGACAGGGAATGTTTAATTTGTTAGAAATGGGACTAAGCTTGGATGGAGTCTTGACATTATAGGAAGCCCTTTATTCTTTCTCCTGTGGAGTAGGATGGAGACATCAGAAGAATCCTACTATTGCCAGCCGCATCATTGTTTGGTCTGGGCCACCTCAGTTCTAACAATAGAAGGTTCACATGTCTTGAATCTATAGTAACTAGAGCTCTAAAGACTTTAATTGTTCTGATAGTAAGAATAAAGAGAGTTGACTGAGTCACTCTCCCAAAAGGCTCTCACAATTCACTTTGTTGGGTCTGTTTCCCTTCCATTGCAATGACCCAGACCCTGTAACCTTAGTTTCTTTATAGGGCAGGGAAGCAGGGAAGAGGAGTGTTCAGTCAAATGTTTCAAATCCCTTTAATCGAAAGCAATCATCCAACAATATCCTTGGGCTGAGATTCTTAAGATAAGCTAAATTTCAATTTTAGTTTTGCCCCTAAGTTGCTTGGAGAAAATTACTAAGCATTTTATTATCTGGGTTTCCCCTTTTTGTAAATTAAATGAACATTTTGGAGATTTAGTAAAAAAAAAAAAACAAAAAACATAGCATCATGGCATCAAACAAGGGCCACACACACACACACACAGACACACACACACTTCATTATTAATGAACCATACAATAATGAGAAGTCCATGTGTTTGCAAGCAAGCCACGGTGATTATTTTAATGATAATAGTGGTGAATCAAACAAGTCCTTTCTTATGGTGT